CTGAAACTCAGAAGGGAATAATATTTTCTGTGTAATATTTACTTTTACACAGTTAGCAAAAGAATATTCACATATATGCTTTTAATTCTGCTGATGAAGCTACCATAATGTCAAATGTCACAATGACCGTGCCTAATTAGTATTACAGATTTGCTTGAGGAGATAAATGGCCAGATCCTTCAGGGTGTAGGTCAGTCCAGCTCCAGGCATTCATCCTCATAAGATTTGTGAGAGGGATGGGACTACAGACTACTGAAATGGAAGCTTGAAAAATATTGCATTAATGAAATGCAAATCATGTTCCAGCTGTTAAATGAACCTACTATTTTAGGTGTCTCAGGCAATGAAACTGTAAAGCTGCTCTGGTTGGGATACAAAAAGCAAGTAAGTCATTTCAGTCTCTGCTGATATACAGAACTGAAACACATCAGACCATATAAAGCTTAATATTCCATGAATGGCGTAGTCCAAGGCCCACTGAAAGTCAGTGGAAAGACTGTTGATATCTGATCCGAAGGCGATTAGCCAGAAATTACGGTTTCTAGGCCTGTTCTTCACCCCGTAAACACTGAAGTCAACTGATCATGGATGGTTTATAAAACAGGAGCTAATGACATGCAATAAAAAATTAAACTCTCATAGACACACAAGATGTTCTTGTTAGTGATATTATGTAAATGAAAACACATTATTAAAATTAGATTACAAGTAACATTTTTCAGATTATGTTTAATTGTTTAATTTGAATTTGAATGATGCAAGTCATGCTATCTCTAATGACAGCTTAAACTCAAATTTAAACAAAGTAATTGAATTTCCATATGAGTTGACACTTTCATTGAAATACTCAAACTTTGCTAACTTCCAAAGGAGTTCACCTAAAACTTTTAATATGGATGGATGGGCACAGTTCAATACGCTGATAGTATCTTGTAAACCTTCTGTTCCATGATAAGTACAAAGTTATACTCATCTGAACTACCATTTGTTGTCAAAAGCCAATGCTATAAAATTATACTGTCTCAGTGATTACTACTGAATGGCGGAATAAACAATTTTCAGAAGTTCCTCATTAAAAGCAGTAATTGTTTATTCTGAAGGAAGAGAAATCAATAAAAGTATGTAAAAACATTAAGAACACTGTAGTATCAAAGGCTGTATACTGACGTGATTCTGTGTAATTTTTTTCAGAGCCTATGTGTTCAACTGCATCCTACAAATGGCATATATTTTCAAAATAAAATTAAGAAGGTATTAAATCCAAATATCTCCAAACATCTACACATCCTTTCCTCAAAAGATCTTTTTTGCATATAAAAGCTGTGAAGTCAAACAGCCACTCTCAGGATGAGGCCAGAGAGACTTCGCAGTTGAGATGTAAACCGACATGGCCCATCAATCATCCCCTTCCCTGAGCTTCGGTACAAAACAAACATTAATTGCTGTTCCTCCCCAGCGTCTTCAGGGGGTGTTTGCATGGTGGACTAAGAATTAGCTGAAAATTGTGCAGAAGACAAATGCCTAGTGGCTGAATTTTATGGATATTATTGTATCAGAAAAATTCTGGAGACAGGTTTGGAGTCCAAATACACTTAATAAAGAAGAGAGACTGATAGTTTTTCAGGGCTGAATGTTTACCTTTCAAGCACATTAACAGGGAATTGAGCAGCTAATAAATCACAACGGTGGTAAGTGCTCACGTAGATGCTCCTGTGGGCTTTTGAAAGTGACAACTGAAGCATAGAGGATTTCACACCAAGAAACACTTCTAAAGCAGGCTCAGTCTAAGCCAGGTTATTCCAAATCCATCTCTGTTCAGTGAGGAGCAGTATCTCAACACAAGAAAAGTCTTTTGGACCACACTGATGCTTTCAGGTATGTTGCGCGTAGGACAGGAGCTAATGCTCCTGAGGACTAGCCTGTAGCTGCAGTGCTCTAGGAGAGCCCAGCCCTGCATCTGAGAATTATCACGTCAGATGGAAACTGCTTTCACTTGTACTGATGAGTAAAGTTCTGTCCAGTTTTCTGGCTGTGAGGCTGAGTTTTACTTTCTCTGGTCTATGTGTTCTTGGTGCTGTAATGCCCAGGTACCCTAAGGTGTAATATTTACCTTTTGTGTATCTTTATCAGTTCAGAGTGTTTTAGTACAGGGAGAACTGTGCAGTAGACAAGCAGTCTTGCATATGTAAACTGTGCATATGCACTGGGTTTAGTATGAGAACATAGAGGATTTCAAAGATCTAAACCTGGGAGGTAAAATAGCCAGTTTTCATGCAGTCTTATTCATACTGCCTACTGGGAGTGAGCCCTTAAATTTGCTAGGACTCAAACTGCTAGCACACAGTATGCGCAACCTGATTGGCATGTGCCAAAAGCAGACAGATGCTTGTTTCCAGGGGCTGTTTTATTCAACAGTACATCTGTTACTGATAACTGCTATCACTCATCAGTACATGGTTGTTTTTCTATATCCCATAGATTTTTTTTATACCTGCGCATATACTGTAATAGCTATAGAAATATGCTTGGGATGTTATGCTTCTGAATATGAAGACCATTGCTCTTCCTCATACGGATATGGTCAGGTTGTGTGCTATCATTTATATAAGTAAAATATTCTATGCATACAAAATAATTAATTTCTTTTCTAACTTTAAAATTAACTAAGCTAATAGGCATGCAAAGACTTGTTGATTGGAGGCAGACCATTGTGTGGAAAGTGTTCATACTTTTACTTGATCTTGGACAGAGAGGACATTAAGAAAATCCTTTCTGTTCCCATTTATTTGCAGTGAGACAAATTAGAGTTGATATACCTGCTCATCACATAACCTCAGAAAAAACCTTTTGTGATTCAGTTTGCAGAGTAATTTATTCAAATCAGCTTCCCGAACCAAGATACTATGCATGTCGCATTATTTTTTTTTTAAACTAATAATGCATTTTAATTAGCAGGCAATGTTTTTCAGCATAGAACTCACAGAGCCTTCACAAGATAGCTTCTTGTGTGTTCAATAACTTCTCCTTTATTCAAGAGTCAATCCTTTTGTGTCTTATTGGGAGTACATGATGTGCATTGATTGTAGGCAGATCTATTTAATTAGTTTATTCATGTATCTGTGTAAAAAAAGGCCACAGGTACCACACCCAAAATAATAAATAGAGCTAAGAGCATCTTTGATTACAGTATTCTCTTTATCAAATCTCTGAATTTAAATTATCTGCTCTGCAAAACAGAGGATGAATTCATGTAAGTGCAAATTAACACAATGAAAACTTGTGGCTTACAAATGGTGTTTAGCTTTTTTCTAATTTTTTTCTGATTGTATTTTTTCCTAATTTTTTTTAATTTTTCTATTTTTTTTTCTAATTCCACTTATCCATATATATTGGAGACTCCAGGGTTATTTTAGTAAAACTAGTATAAATGGAGCGATTACCATATTATTCCAAATTCAGAATGACATTTCTAAGATTCATGCAAAGTGAAGCCTATAATGAACAGTAAAATACTACATTTTTTAGTAAAAACAACAGCATTTTATACCAACCTTAAGCACAGTGAAGTTTTGATCACTCATATATAAAACATGTTAACTACTGAATGTGTAAAAAAATGAAGAATCTTAATTGTTTAGTAATTTAATTGATAGATAAAAAACAGGTATTTGTGTAGGATAAGGTATAATTTGAGGGAGCATGAATACAGACAGAAAGTCACAACAAAGATCTCAGAAACCAAATGATGTGCTGAAACAGGACTCATAATTCACTTTGAATAGTCTCATGACTGGAATCAAATGCCAGTATAAAGTAAAATAACTTTCAGCAAAGCTGCACTAAAGACTGTCAAGTTCTCAGCTGAAACAAAGAGTTGAACAGTATATAAGGTGCTAGTTGAAGGCATGTTAGAAACATTTTGGTAGAGCAGAGAATTATTTGTAGCAAAATGCCAGAAATTGCTTAGATTCTTTAATTTTTAGCTTCCTTGGTAAATCTGTAGACTTTATATTTGGGACCAGAGAAGAGGGAGGAATAAGAATAAGGGATAATAATAAATAAGAAGAAGAAAAAAAGACATATTTACCTTAAGAGAACAGATAAATTATACTTGCACCTTTCTTCCTTTTCTGGAAGAGAAAAAGTCAAGGACAGTGGTGTTGGGAAACATAATGGGTTAAGTTTTGTTACATCATTGATGGCATGGAAGTGCTAGGGAATGTTTATTTATTGAATATTTGCCAACTCAGAAATCACAGTCTGCATAGCTTAGCCTCTTGTGCGTTCAGTAACTTGTCATTTACCAAAAAATCAATCTTTTTGTGTTTTATTGGCAGTACATGGTGTGCATTGATTGTAGACTGTCATCTGTTCAATTAGGTTACTCATGTGTTAAACCTAATTGTGTCTGTGTAAAAAAAGCCCCCAATAAAAAAAAAAAAAAAATCCAAACAAAAACAAAAACCCAAAACAAAAAAAAAACACAACTAAACAAAAAAGAAACAAACAAAACCCCCCAAAAACAAAAAAAAGGAGAAAATAAAAAACAAAACAATAAAACCCAAACACACAAGAACTGAGGGCTCTTTTTTATTTATCTTTCTGTTTACCGAAGAACTTGTCAGCATCTGTTAACTTTTAACATGAACACCAGTGTTGACCGGCACTGTAAGGGCATACCTCTTCATACCCCTGTTAGGAGAACAGAGAAATCTTTGCTTGAGAATGCCAAGAAATCCAAAGATACTCATGGTTTGAAAGAAACAGATTCTTGGAAAGACTCATGAGTGACTATGGCAGTTGACTCAGACTGTAGACAAGAAAGCCCATGAATCACAGTATTTAAGCAGGGTGGGTATAAGTTTCCCTGTCTCTCACACAGTTGTCTTGATTGACAGCTAATTACTTTGAGATAAGTGAGTAAATAAAGATTAAGTAAACTCAGTGACTTTGGGTCCAGCATATTTCTGATCAGTTGTCTTCCATATTTTTAATTACAGAATCCCCTTCACCTGCAGATGAGTTTAGAAAACTCACCAAGTTCTGATGCTGATGTCACTTTCTCAATCCTTGCAATGAACAACTGGTATAATTTCAGCCTGATGCTATGCCAGGAAGAGTGGAACATCACGGATTTTCTCTTCCTCACACAACAGAGCTCTAAGTTCCACCTGGGATCCATTATAAACATCACAGCAAACCTCACTTCAGCCAGCGACCTGCTGAACTACTTACAGTTTTACCTGGAGGGCATCAAAGACACAGTGTCTACCATGGTGATGTTTGGATGTGACATGGAAAAAACACGAAGGATTTTTGAAATAACTACCCAGTTTGGTGTGATGCCTCCAGAACTTCACTGGATTATTGGGGATTCACAGAATGTAGAAGAACTCAGGACAGAAGGTTTGCCACTCGGTCTCATCGCTCACGGCAAGACAACACAGTCAGTCTTCGAGCATTATGTACAGGATGCAATGGAGCTGGTAGCAAGAGCTGTAGCAGCAGCCACCATGATTCAACCTGAACTGGCTCTTATTCCAAGCACAATGAACTGCATGGACACAGATGAAAAGAATATCACTTCAGGGCAGTATTTGTCAAAGTAAGTTTTTAATTTTTTTCTTTACTTGTAGATAATATTTATTGTATAAAAGAAAAACAGTTTTTCTGCTCCTCCCTACCATTTTCAGTGGCTTAGCTATTACACTGTTAGCCCTCTCACACACATTATTTCAGTATTTCTTCCTGCTTCATTACATCTGGGTAAATAATGAAACACCTTGGCCACAGAAGGGAATTAAGCCAGTCATAGAAGAAGGCACTGTTCCACAGAAGTAGAGATCACATAGTAAACATAGACTGGGTTATAGAACCTGAAGGTATCTTGCATTTATGTTTATGCAAATAAAAGGAAAAAGCCATGGCTGGTGTAAAATTCTCTGAGGTTTTGAGATACCTGAGAGAATACAAAACACAATATTTGTGCTACCAAAGCAATCACAGAGTATAAAAGCAGATGTGTAGCCCATGCTAGTATCCTTCCATGGAAAAGAAACAAAAAAGTGCACCTTGATCACTGCTCCTCGTGAGCGCACTCAAAACTGCAAAGGGCTCTCCCTGGTGCTTGGCTTGGGAGGCTCCTATTTCAGCTTCTGCTACAACTGTTCTCATAGACAACTGCATGTCGTTATACTAAAGTTAGTCCCAAAACTGCTTGGGGATTCACATCTAGAAATATTCTGTGGTTTAACATAAGAGAGGGAAAATTTCATGGTTCTTTTTAAAACAAACAAAAAGGTCTTTGCCAAGTGTGTGAATTCACCAGCTAGTTTACATTCAGTGACTGTTGTATGTCTTCTCTCCATTGCACCTGGCTTTCAGTCTACCAGTTTTGCTGGTTGGAGTTAGAACAAAAGTTCTTGAAGATTTTTCAGTGTCTTCAACATTTTTTAAATTATAACTGAGATGTGTCTTCACAATAATGGGGTAACAGCACAGCTCAAAACACAACCTTCTGAGTCCCTAACAATTCCTTAGTCAGCATTCATCCATAACTTAGGGGTCAGAAACTCGCAAAGAGTTTCCAGACAGTGAAACATGACTTGGCAATAAATACTGCACTGGCTTGCAATATACCTACTGACTTGTGATATTAATTTTGTCTCAATATTTGGGGTATTTTAAGTAGATCAAACCTAAGTTCCTGAAAAGTAAAACTCAGCAAGAGGCTTCTTATTATAACAATTCTGAGGGCAGTAGTTTTAAGAACAGAATTTTTGAAGATTAAAAGACCAGGATAAAGAAAATAAAAATTAAAGCTCTTGAAGGTATTATAGAATCGCAGAACAGGTAGGGTTGGAAAGGACCTTAAGATCATCAAGTTCCAACCCCCCTGCCATGAGCAGGGACACCTCACACTAAACCATTTCACCCAAAGCTCTGTCCAGTCTGGCCTTGAACACCACCAGGGATGGAGCATTCACAACTTCCCTGGGCAACCCATTCCAGTGCCTCGCCACCCTTACAGTAAAGATTTTCTTCCTTATATCCAATCTAAACTTCCCCTGTTTAAGTTTTAACCCATTACCCCATGTCCTATCACTACAGTCCCTAATGAAGAGTCTCTCCCCAGCATCCCTATAGCCCCCCTTCAGATACTGGAAGGCTGCTATGAGGTCTCCACGCAGCCTTCTCTTCTCCAGGCTGAACAGACCCAGCTTTCTTCATATGGGAGGTGCTCCAGTCCCCTGATCATCCTCGTGGCCCTTCTCTGGACTTGTTCCAACAGTTCCATGTCCTTTTTTTGTTGAGGACACCAGAACGGCACACAATACTCCAGGTAAGGTCTCACCAGAGCACAGTAGAGGGGCAGGATCACCTCCTTCGACCTGCTGGTCACACTCCTTTTGATGCAGCCCAGGATACGGTTGGCTTTCTGGGCTGAGAGCGCACACTGCCGGCTCATGTTCATTTCCTCATCTACCAACAGCTCCTGTTGCTCCTGGATGCTGAGCTTCCCCCTGTTCAGGTGTTGAAGGCATCCTCTCTTGAGCTACTCATCCCCGCAATTGCAATTCCTGCAAAATATTTCTTCAGCATTGCTTTCTACAGAAAACTATTATCTCTCTCATGAAAAATAACTGCTGTAACTTTAGTTGTATTTTGGGAGACAATATGTAGTTTCACATCTATGAAATTTCCTGTCACATCATCTCAGTAAAGGTATTGTGGAAAGAAAAAAAGAATCATATGCCTAGCCTTTTTTTCCCTAGACAACTGCTTGTGGGCCCTATTAAATAACAAAATAACAAGTTAGGTAAACCTCTGTCCTAAATCACTGCAGCTGTTTTTATAGTGTGTGAGTGAAACAGATACCTGATGGCCTGTACTGATGTTAGCAGTATAACTGTTAACTGTGAGTGGTACCAGTAATTTCTCAGGTGTGATGCACTAATGAGTGACTAAACTGACCAACCTTGTTCATTGCACAAGTGCTTTAAGGCAAGTGGTGTGCCTCCAAAGATGAAACTTTTATCTGGTGTTTAACTGAATGTTTACTAATGTGGGTGTTTTTCTGCCTGAGTGAACCCATCTGTCTTGGTACATAGCCTTGGAGATGCAGTGAGCAGGGATGGGGAAGAAACGGTGACACAGAGCTTCACCTATTGCAGGGTGTAGTTAAGCTGGCACAGCTGACACCTGAGTTTTCATTTCCGACACTGCACTCATACACTGGCTGTGCAGACATTTAAATGCCACCGAGGAGCAGAATAATGATTATGAATAAGACCAAGATCTGCTCCATGGCAAAGTATGCTTTTATCGATATAGACATGGATATACATGTACAAACCTCTGAAGATTATGCTGTTGTAAGTCTCCGTCCATGACTTCTCTTACAGTGAGATCTATTGCCTGATCTATTCCTGCCTGCTTATGGAGGGAACATCCTTGTTGATGGAACAAGGCATTAAAATTTCAGAGCCTCATCTTGTCTTACAGTTTTAATTAGTCTTACAGCTTTAGCTAATTTTACAGCTTCTTGAGTAATTTCAGCAGCTTGTTATTTGTTTGCCCATTCTAATTCTTGCCTCCAGTAAACTTTCCAAGAAAAATGTGGACTGGGAAAGCCATCAAGCTTGAAAGAAAAAGAAATAATTTCCTTAAATCATTCTTAAAGGTGCTACAAAAAGATCGATGCTGCAGTATGGTAGTACTGCTGAAGCTGTAATGAGCAGTATAACAAAGCACATGAAAATCAAATAAAGCTGAAATGAGCAAATGACAGACTTTGGACTCATTGGTCAAACTAAAGTGATGCTGGTAAAGCTTTGATACAGCTATCACAGCCTATTTGTGTGATCATCAGCTCACACATATTGACATAGCATCAAGAAAGTTCATTCAGTTGTCAAACTTGAGGATCTAGCCCTTCATATTCTGAAATTTATACACATCATATTTCCATGCAAATCTGTCAGTAGCCCTATAGAAAAGATACTGCTCAGGTATTGGCAAAGTATCCATGCAGTACTCAGCACTTGCAGTTCCCAAAGATTTACACTGGAGATTGCTGGCTTAAATAATGTAGTCACATAGTCATACCTGTTTCCTAAAATTACTGAGTAAGAGAGTTTTTACATGAAGTCCCTGGCATGAGTTTCACTAGCACTACATAAAATATATGCAAATTATTACAACCATAGCCAATCGTGTATAAAACAGTGTTCTTAAAATGTATCTCCCACATGGTTCCCCTCATTTATTTTGATTCATGTCCTGAAGCTACCAAAACTATAGAACATGCAAATCAGCTGCAAAAGTAAGCAACTAACTCCACGAGGTGGCCAAGTCACACATTTGAATGCTACTAAATCTGATCAATATATCAAATAAATAAATCTCAAATATTTATTTGATTTTCATCTCTTCTGCTGTAAAATCTGCTTATTACAGCTTCAGCAGTACTACCATACTCCAGCAGAGATCTCTTAGTAGTACCTTTAACACTTCTAACACAATTCAACCACAGGACATGTACAGAAGGCTTGGTTCTTATGGGCACACATTTCTACAGTGAAAGTCAGAGAACACAGTGCATGAATTTCACTGGTCTCATTCTACTTGGGGAAAATAAATATAATGTATTATTCCATAGCTTCATCTACTCCCAAAGCACCTGGTCTGCAGCATTCTGATATGCAAGTTGTGCTATGGCAGTAACATGGGGACAAATCCATCAGAACATAGCTAGCTTATTCCATCTGAGGATTTGTCTCCCTCAATATTGGCATTTTGTGAATTGTTAATGCTATTTTCCACACTTCTTTGGTTTTTTCCACACAATTCTTCCAAAATTTTACATTCATACCTGTCTACAGTAGTTTTACCATTACTGTCATAGTTCAGCATGTAAGCCTAGCAAGGATTCTAAGAAAGAAGTTGCAGAATTTTTTACAAAGACTGAGGAGAAGATATGAAAACCATGTAAGTTTATGAGCACAAAAACCTTTCTTTAGTGCTTAAGATTGCTTTCTCCTATAAACTTTGCCTTGATAGTGTTTACAGGCACAGACATGCAAGTAGACCATCAAAAATGAAACACAGGGTAGGAGGAAGGGATTAGTCAAACAGTGGCAGACACCACTGATTAATCAAGTTACAGTATCATTTAGCTAACGCTAGACTAAGTGGTAAAGGATTTTAAACCATATGTATGTGTCCGTCCTGAACTCAGCCTACTGAAAATAGATTGCCTCAGAAAAAATCTGAAGCCATGTCAGAGAAGCCTGTCACACACACAACCACACTCAAAACTACATTATTTAGTTCTATAAATTTACCCTTTGCTGAGGACAGAAACTGATATGATTTTGAAACAAACATAGTCCAGAGTTTTAACCACTGGAACTCCATCGAAAGTCATCAAAACAAAAGGGTAGAGACAAGGCAGAAGTATGCATGCACACACACTCGCTGCAGATTTATGCTTTTCAAATCAATTCAAGGTTATTTTTTATCTGCTTTAACTATCGGTAAACAACACTACTTAATGTTTATATCTTGTTTATTGAAGCTGGAAGACAGCTATAGTCTTTATACTTCTTTCACTACTTGCTTTCATCCAATTCCCAGAACTAATGTGAGGTGTTACATTCTACTGTGACACCTAAATAGTTTGTTTTCTGAATGCCTCTTTCTGAAACGTGTGCCTGACTTACTTTACACCATATTAGCAGCAATTCAACTAAGTTGCTTTTTATGGAATTGCCATACTAAGACATATAAAGTCCCTGCAAAATGCATAGCAGCATTCTTATTAACAGACTACAGTTCAGATGGTCATGATGTTTACACTAAAATGGATTTTCTCCTTCCAGCTCATCCCCTTGCTCCTTTATTCATGTCATTTTAGCACCTTTGATAATGACTTAACCAGAAGCTGAATTACACTTAAGGGGAAGACAACTAGTAGCTAACCCTGCCACCCAATACAGAGGAAATACATAACCTTATTGTGAATATCTAAAAAAGTTAAAGCCCAAAAATCTCAGTGCAAAATGTGCAGTGCAAAGCAGGGACACTTCATGAGACCTACACTTTTAAGAACCCTACTTTTGCACATGTTTTTAAAAAGTTTTTGTGTGGGTTTGCTGTTTTTTGTTGTTGTTTTATTTTTTTTTTTTTTGTAAGAATTAATCCTGACTATCGTAGGGTAGCCATCTTTCACTGAGTCCCTTTTTTCATTCTGAAGTGGCTAACAGTGATTTACCAATGCCAAATTTGCATTTTCAAATCCAGATTTGTTCATTTCAGAGTGCTTGAAAGCTGTTGACAGCACTTCAGTAGCCTTTCTTATGTAAGCCGTATCTTACTGAAATTACAGGATTTTTCTTGGAAGGACATTTTGTACATAATTTCCACTCTTCCATTTTCATATGTATTTTTATCTAGGAAACTGACTACAGATCTAGTGAGTTCAGCTGCTTAGAACTAACCTATGTTTCACTAATTTGTGAGGCAAAGGTAACTGAAAAAAATGGTGTTTTCTCACGGATTTTTCATTGTAAGTAAAAAGAATATCTTTCCTGAAGAGTTTTCATTTGCATTAGATAACATAGGAGAGCATATCCAAGTACTTTACTTACAAAAAGTAAATGGTTTGTTCATCATGACATAGGAAAGCTATTAATGATAGAGGTGTTCCAACAACATGCACAATCCATTCTCTTAAACATAAATTCTTGGTGACTTAAGTTAGCATGATGGCTTCGGTTGTCTGCTTCTTATTACTCTGCTGTCTCCCTCGAACAGGTTTTTAGCCAACACAACTTTTGACGGTCTCAGTGGCCACATTAAGGTGAAAGGGTCCTCCATTGTCAGCTCAGAAAACAACTTCTTCATCTGGAATCTACAGCATGACCCTATTGGGAAGCCAATGTGGACGCGTCTGGGAAGCTGGCAAGAAGGAAAGATAATAATGGACTATGGGATATGGCCAGAACAGGCCCAGAGGCATAAAAATCACATGCAACACCCCACCCGGCTGCATCTCAGAGTGGTAACTCTCATTGAGCATCCATTTGTCTTTACAAGAGATGTAGATGATGAAGGTCTTTGCCCAGCAGGGCAGCTGTGCCTGGATCCTTTGACCAATGATTCAGCTGTGCTGGATAACCTGTTTGAAACGCTTCAAGGAGGGAATGACACGATTCCCATTGAGTTGAAGAAGTGCTGCTATGGCTACTGCATTGACCTGCTGGAGAAGCTAGCTGAGGATATGAATTTTGATTTTGACTTGTACATTGTCGGTGATGGAAAATACGGAGCCTGGAAGAACAGCCACTGGACAGGGCTGGTGGGAGACCTTCTTGCTGGCACAGCTCACATGGCAGTGACATCATTTAGCATTAACACTGCCCGCAGCCAAGTGATTGATTTCACCAGCCCTTTCTTTTCTACCAGCTTGGGCATCTTGGTGAGGACCAAAGACACAGCAGCTCCTATTGGAGCCTTTATGTGGCCACTTCACTGGACTATGTGGCTGGGGATATTTGTTGCTCTGCACATCACAGCGATATTCCTCACCTTATATGAGTGGAAAAGTCCTTTTGGGATGACCCCGAAGGGAAGGAATAGGAACAAAGTCTTCTCTTTCTCCTCCGCTCTGAATGTCTGCTATGCAATCCTGTTTGGAAGAACAGCTGCCATCAAACCCCCCAAGTGCTGGACTGGAAGGTTTTTAATGAATCTCTGGGCTATTTTCTGTCTGTTTTGTTTGTCCACATACACAGCCAACCTGGCTGCTGTCATGGTAGGAGAAAAGATCTACGAAGAGCTGTCTGGAATACATGACCCAAAGGTAAAACATGCCTGTTGTTATTAACTCAGACTTTTCTTCTTCCCTATCAAAATTCACTGCTGCATAATTTATAGTTTCTAATAAAATCAGAAAGCAATCTGTGTGTACAACAGCAGTGACACTACAATTAGTTACTGCCTGACAGCATTACAGTAGGAAAATTCAATGAGAGAGGGTTTTTAAACAGTCGTAGAAGTGGACGGGTGAATGTCAAAGATTAAGGGTGAAGGGGAAGTTGAAAGATGTTGGTGTTGCTCAATGCAGAAAAGTGGCTTCTACATACAGATTAAGAGTTTGATTTCAGTTCTGAGTCCCTTTGGCTGTTGTTGTTTTCATCAGTTGGATGACTTGAATCATCCTGAGATCTACTCAAACAAAATAATCACACTGGATGGAGAGAAAACCACTGATGTTCTAGGTAGGATTTTGCAGTAATTTCACAGGCCATAATGGTTCTTACAAAGGTGTTACTGACAAAATTAGCCGTGAATGCTAAATCAGATGGAACAGAACTGAAATCTTTTGAAAAACCCTATCTTCTCAATCAAAACAGTAGAATTCATTTTACAAGTAGTCAGACATTTGATTTTCAATGATGTTTCTGCTGAGGAACTGTCATTGGAGGAAATTAATTATTTTGTATGCAACCCATCTGCAAACAGTTCAGACGTCCTAGTACTTTGTGGTAAGGCAAGGAAAAATGTAGAAGCAGGACTGCCTCTACCTGCACTCTCCCGAACTCCCAAGAGGGAATGAAGGAATCTTAAGCTGAAATTCAAGTCTGGTCATTTGTAAGACTTTTCTGATTTTATTTGCTACTAATGACCATGAAAACGCGTGTGCAGAAGGGTTTGTTTAGAGAAGACAGGGCACATGGGAAGGCATCCTGTTCACCTAAAAGTCACTGTAGGGGACAGGGTGCCAACAGCAAACTTCCTTTGTTTGGCACTTTCTCCAGTGAAGGTGTGGTTGTATTGTCCACAGTTTTATACTTATGACCTTGGTACAAAGCTTTGAAACCATTCATCTTTAGTTTGTCACAGGTGAACTGAATCAATGCAACATTGTGCCACTGGAAAAGGTAACTTTAAGAACTCAAGAACTGAACATTTACTTTGCTTTCATAAACTGTGTATTTAAGGGTTACATATGTCTTTCCAGACAGGAAAGACCAAGCTTCATCTGTTACATTAGTAAAACCTTGCATTCAGACTAATGACCATGCAGTTTTGACTTTGTGAGTACAACTTCTGGCTTATATCCTCCAACTTTATCTAGCTAGTTGCTACCAAATATATTTTAAACAAAGAACAATACTCTTTGTTGTTGGCTTGAGGCACTCTAAAATTGATTTATGGCTTGAAGCAAATTGATACTAATAATCTGACTCTCCTCCCAGAAAAAAAGTAGCATAAATACTACATCAATAATTTAATCAATTTAAGGCACAATTTAAGTTCAAAAGTCATGTATTTGTTTTATTCAGGGCATTCTGAATAAGCAAATGAGATCCTTTGAATTTCCACAGCTCCAGACATATCTGTTATAGTCTTTTATTGTGTGAGACATAGCATTGGCTTTAAAATTAGGTTAGTCCTCTACTCTTTGCATCACCTAATTCATCAAATCAAATTGCATCAGATTACATCCTATTTTTCTGCATCATTATTGTGAACACACATGGAGTTCTTAAGACAAGTATTGGAAAAATCTCTGCAACTGCAACAAAATCAAGTTATTCTAAAGCTGTACTGTAAAGCTTGGCTGCTGAGTTACAAAATTGAGCGCAGAGTATTGAAGCATATGAGGTGCTGAAAACACAGGTCTTAATCGTGAACAAAAGCACTGATGGTACACAGTTAATAATGTCGGTGATCCCATTAAATCTGTTTAGGTAATGTTTGTGGCACAACAGTTGCAAAGGTACATGCACCACTTTTTAGTTAGTTACTTAAACCATTTTTTAATGTGATTTAAACATTGGGGTTTTTTCCCCCAGACCTGCTTACCTCTTTCTTTTCAGTGGTGGAGACTCATTTTAAAAAGAAGGCAGCAGGATGCAGAAGTAATCCTTTTAATGTTAATATACTTTTAAACATTCTCCTGCTGCTCTCAGTACACATATGCCCTTCTACTATGCTTTTGAAATGTATTTAAAAAATAACGACCAAAATAGAGGGGTAACACCTTCCAGGGTGATGTAAGACATATAATTCTTCAGGCTGTCAGTAACAGACAGCAAATCCGATCTGAGATTTCAAACAGTCAGGAAGGTAGGCAAGTAGGGAAAAATGTAAAGGTTTTTTTCAAGATTAGAAACCTGGTATCTAAAGTCAGTATTGCCAGGAATATCTATGTTCTCTCTTCTGGTTAAAAAAAGACAGGGTTAGATACTGTCTGAATAAATAGCATCTGACTTTCTGTAAAAATTCATGTTACAACAGTGATGTTTAATTGATCAAGCAGTACAGTGTTTTAGCTGTTACTCATTGCAGCTCAGCAAAGGGAGCATAGTTCTCTCTTGTTGCTGAAGTCTCAATATTACAATATTTTCATCAGAAAAATACTGCAAACCAGCAGCCCGCCTTTGGGCTGGTCTGATCATTTGTCCTACCCACCTGTAGTGGCCTGGAGGCAGCCGGCTTTATGCCTCACATCTCCTAAACTTGTTTATCTCCTAAACCTTGTTTCTTGTACAGCTCCTCAGCACCTTGGTGATTACGGTATACTCAGCTATACCTGAAAAAGCCATGACCCAAAGGTTTTATCCTTCACTGGGACCAATGCACGTTTCCACATTGGCAAGGTTAGGTTGCTGTAGGTATCTCCTTAAAACAGATCTGGTGTTAGAGGAGCACGTAGGGATGCAAATGGGGACAGGCAAGTCCAGGCAGCTTGCCACTGTTGGATTTTTCCTGACTCACAGGATGTGATGGCATTACAGAGCTACAACAGCAAGCGGAGTATGCAGCCTCAAAGGGACGGGCCAAGCGGGAAAGAAGCACGTTGATAAGCAAAGGGTTCTGGGTACAAAAAAAAGACAATCTGTTACCATTCTGCTTCAGAAGACTGGCTGTTTTTCTTTTTGCCAGTCTTTTGACAAATCCAGAAATCTGGATACTTTATGTTTCATTTTCCAGTATGGTTTCCATAAAGAGGTACTATACGCATGTGAGTAACCTAGGTCTCAGTGGCACAGATAGGGAAAAGAAGAAATTATCTGGAAGTAAACAGCAATGCCACTGACATCCTTTTCCCAGTGAGCCTGCAACTAAGGTCCATATCCAATAAAACTTCATTATCAAATCAAATAATAGGGTCTTGTATGACAGGATCTCCCCAGGGAGTGGGTTTTTTTAGTAGCAAGGGGACTTGAAGCAGGGACTGTGCTTTCAAGCTTTTAATGCAAGAGCACATGTTGGAGATACACTATAAGGTCAGGAGTGTGTTGAGTAGTTCAGATTATCTGGGGCAAAATATCTGTGGAAGCCCAGAGGAGAGAAGAAACTTTTCAAACATGCTAACAAGAAAGTATACAACAGGAGAATCTGAGGAGCTGGACAGATTTTCTGTATAGTGGTCCAATGCCTGGTCTTTCTTTCTGCTAAAAGTGTCATTCTTTCAACAATATAATGAGCTTTTCAGATGCAGTCCCACCATTGTCACTTCTTTGACAGCTGTCAGCTTTTCTTTGCCTTGTTTAGGATACGCTTGAGTAGCTGTGTCTGTTACTTTACTGCGGTTATTTTTTTGCTTCTCTGGGATCACTTTACCCTCAAAACAGCTTTTGATAATGGCAAAACTTCTTTACACATTGAATTTTGACCAAAAATACCTAACCCATTGAGATTCGTTTAACAAAATGGGCTACACCTGTGAATCCCACCATGAGGAATTTCACTGTGCTATATCGTTTCGTTTTACATATCTGCAGTGGAGACATTATATATGATTTACTAAGTCTAATATGCTTTTATAGTTGTTTGGGAGAGGTAAGCACATTGGGCTGCTGTTGAAGACACTTAACTTCAGGATAAGATCACCTAAACCACCACCTGAAAGTGCTACTTCTCTCCATCATAGAATCATAGAATAGTTAGGGTTGGAAAGGACCTTAAGATCAAGTTCCAACCCCCCTGCCATGGGCAGGGACACCTCGCTCTAAACCATATCACCCAAGGCCTCATCCAGCCTGGCCTTGAACACTGCCAGGGATGGAGCATTCACACCCTCCCTGGGCAACCTATTCCAGTGCCTCACCACCCTAACAGGAAAGAATTTCCTCCTTATATCCAACCTAAACTTCCCCTGTTTAAGTTTTAACCCATTACCCCTTGTCCTATCACTACAGTCCCTAATGAAGAGTCTATCCCCAGCATCCCTATAGGCCCCCTTCAGATACCGGAAGGCTGCTATGAGGTCTCCATGTATGGCCAGCACTGATGTCTGACAAATACTATAGATGCCCCAAAGAATAAACTGCAGACATCTACAATTATTCTGACAAGCACCATCCCGCAACAGCCTTGTGCATTTCAACAGCCTTGGTGTGCTTCAGGATTAGTCCTTAGAAATCTCTTCTTCTCTTGTAATCCATTGTCTGAACACAACTGCTCTTAAAAGCTGTCAATCTTTTTATTATGGAAGTAAGCACTTGGAGTAATAATCCAGGCAAGATACTTCTGAGACTTTGTTACTCAGGAATTCAGTACGTACAGTCCACCTGATTTTTGTTTCTACATTTAAACTCTAAAATGTGAGGGTGCAAGCTCTCATTTCTGATATATTAAAAACTCAGTTAATCTAGTGGCCTTATGGCCATTACCGTATCAGTTAAAGACTGTATTAAAACAGTCTAGAAATATCAATGGCGAGTAGCTTTAGCAATACCAAATCGTAGAAAAGGAAGAGTCCAGCCACTTTATAGGCATTTTCCACTACTAGACACGTGATTCAAATACTCCTGCATTTAATGATATTTTCCATAAAGTTCAGCAAGC